TATTAAACAGAATCGTTATAGAACCTATTAGAGTTTTCTTTCCGATTTTTATGGCTTCATTGGGAATGTTATCAGGACCTGGGCTTTTTTTCTTTTTTTAATTTTTCTATATTTTCCAATATATCTCTGTAGTCAAAAGGCGATGGGTGTATTTAATTGTACCTATTCAGGTCATAAATTCTGTCACATGTTTAATATAAAATAATTGAAACAAGTTTATTCATTATGTAACCATTTATATACCAAAATGAACTTAACTAAACATAGATTCTTATGACACTAAAGTTTATTCAAAATGACCTCCGTGATTTTGAATACAGACCTTCAATCTACGCGGCCAGTCGTCTATCGCAGCACGAACGAGGTCCATGTCAATATCGGCGGCTGCCTTAATCAAGGATGTCTTGAATGACTCCAAATTGGGATGAGGCTTTGAGCACGCCTTTTCCTCCAAGTGTTGCCATATCTTGTAATCTAACGGATTCAAATCTGGACTGGAGGAGGGCCAGTCTTCGTGCCGGATGAAGTCGATTTCACGCGCCAGCCAGTCTTGTGTGCTCTTCGCTCTATGAGCTGGCGCGAATCTTGTTGGAATACCCAGTGCCTGTTATTGAATATGGTATGAGAAACAGGTTCCACAAGGTTCGTCAGGACTGTATTTTGATACACAACTGCATTCGTTTTTACACCTTTCTCACAAAAATGTACCTCTGTTAAGCCCCAATAAGAAACTCCCAACCATACCATGAGCGAGGATGGAAAATGACCTCGTTGGACACGCGGAATACGGTTGCTCGCTTCTTCACTACTGTGTACGTACACTTCATCATTTTGTTTGTTGTAGCTCTCTTCTACGGTAAAAATTTTTTCATCCGAAAAAAGAATTTCCCGATATTTTTTTCCCGCGTACCGCTTCAACAAAGCGCGGCATCTCTTCAGTCTCAGGTCCATTAGACGAGCATTCAAACGATGTCCTGTTTTTCTTCGATATGCCCGAAGCCCTAAGGTTCATTTAACACCCTTTTCACCGTGGTTCTGCTTAACCCCATCTGAAGGCCCAACAGTTTCTGCTTACGTTTGGGATTTCTTTGAATTCGCGCCTTCACAGCTTTTATCACTGCTGGAGTCCTAACAGACCGAGGGCGACCACTTCTTGACCTGTCATCTACACTAGAGTCTTCATTGTATCGTTTGATGGTACGATAAACGAATCTTTTGGTTATATTCAAATTTTTCAGTATGTCAAAAATTTGAATTGGCGCGTAACCGCAACGATGCAACGCAATAACTGCAACACGGTCTTAAGCGTCCACTCCATATTTAAAAATGAGTAAAATTCCAAAAAGTATACAGTTTTATTTTCATGAACAATTCGAATTCAATAAACTTTTTTGTGGCCAGCATTCTAAAAGCAAAGTTTTTACGGTGTGACAATACTTATGACCTGACTAGGTATTTCATATTTTTTGTGCTCATTTTCTTCGCTTCGTTCATCCTGGTACAGATTCCTGTAAAAGTCCGTAGCAATATTTATTATGTCTTTTCGCGTTTTTACATGGTTTTGATTGGAATTCAATACGTTTTTAAGTTGTTGTTTGGTTTCAATGGTTAGAAGAATAGATATTATATATACATATAATATATATATATATATATATATATATATATATATATTATTTTTACGTTTATTAATTTCAATATAATTTTTGTTGTAAAGAACTACTTGTTGCGTCAGGGTAAAATTGATCGTGTAATTGTTTTAAAAATAATAACCAATACTTCTTATAAATAAAATAAACGTTGGCAATGTTGTTAGGGTTTTACGGTCTGTGGTTGTGTTCAGTGCTTCAAGGACAAATGTTTCGTGCGCAATTGTTTTGTAATTTTAGTTTTTTAGTTTTTGAGACAGTTCCGTATTGGCTATCACGTGCGCTTGAGCGACAGTTCAATCGTTTTATTTATTACATTATTGTTGTTCCGTTTGATTTTTCTTGTTTTGTTTTAATACTGCCTAACGCGTAGCTACTAACTATAATTCTCGTGAATACGGCAACATGTTAATGTGCCTTGGAGAATCTCATAAGATTTAGATCGTTAAGCTGTTTCATACCTTTTTTTTTTTAAATAACTTAGTACTGAACTCATCTGAATAGGTACATAACTGAATATATCAGAATAATACACATATACCTACACAAAAAGCATGACTCTAACCTTGTTAACTTCATTTAAGTATTTTTTTATTAGCGGGGAATCAAACCAGGTATTTGGTTTATTTAATCTGTGAATAAAGTGGCTAAATGGAGACAAGCACAGTGGCCAAATAGTAGGTTAAGTAGATAAGTTAAGTTTTTAGACAAGTGTTGTAAATAATTAGGAATTGCACTATTGCCGTATTTGCAGTATAGCGCGCGGGTTGGATTTAGAATCATTTGGCAGGAATTTAGGGGAGTAAGGTGTTTTATTTGGTAAAGATTTGGTCCCCAATTATAATAATACCACTCACATTAAAAGGTAATGCACCGTTATCAAAAAAATTAATAAATATTGTTATTAAATAAAATGCGTAAAACATGGAAAAAATACTGTGAAAGCTGGATAAAATAAAGAATTTTGTGTAAGTGCGACAAGGAGGTAAGACTATTGTCACATTATTCTACTGTCTATACTCTCTGTCAAGAGATATTTCACTAAAGACAACTATAATAGAGAAAATTTTACAGACTTAAGCTGCGGGCCGCCTGGATTTGGCGTCGATTCCGCGCGACAATAGGGTCAATAACCCCATTGTCAGCTGATTTAAGTTCCACTGCTGGTTTTATGTTTAAGTATTTTTGTCTTTTTTTTTATAGAATTATCGTTTCATTTTGTTGTACTAACATGATGGAGCGTGAATAAAACTAATAAAACGTTTTGAAAAGATGTTTTTTTCCTCGGGATCAATTTTCTTCCTACCCATGATCAAAGGTATCGTTAGTACTATCGCCTGTCTTTATTTTCGGGAGCGTTTCAAAAACACCCGGTATAGTATAGAGTATATATATACGCCCTCACTCTCTGATCACATTTTTCTTCCACGCCCACCCACCTGTTAAGGGTACTCGTGGCCTTATTATTTTGCAATTATTAGATTACTGTTAATCTACAGTGTAGATAGATTCTACACTATAAATTATAATATACAGTCATGGACAAATTTAGAGGAACGCAAAAAAAGTGTGTAGGTATAAAATTAAATATCACGGATATCTGTGACAATTAAGTTTATCCATTTCGATTATGCTTATTATTCGTTAACTTGAATATTAAAAACGTCAAAAAAACAAACTAGCAAATGACAAAACTTAACGAAATTAAGAAATACAAAAACAATACAGGAAAAAAACATTTTTGTACGTACATCTTTTTTATAAATGCTTAGGAAAGGCACCTGCCTATTACAGCCCACCTGGGCTGTAATCTGTAATCAGTATTAAGTGTTGCTTCCTCTAGCTCTTCTGATTCCTGTCTTCTTGGCATACTCCATGTTATCAATAAAATATTGAGAGATTGCGTTTTATTCTTCCTGATATGCGTTTTTCAGATATCTCAAAATGGCGGGGACAGGAGTTTTTTCTTAATTTGTCTTCGAAGCTTATCCCATACATACTCTATGAGATTTAAGTAGAGTGTGTTTTTCTGGCCACCCCATATCATTAATTTCAACGTCTTGAAGGTATTAGACAACTGTAGTAGTATGGGGACGTGCATTATCATTCATAAAAACAAATCTATCTCCTATAACAGTGACAAATGGCACCACAATTTCTTCCACAATCTCAGTTACATATTATCATGCCGCTGTTACTGACCCATTATTAAGTGCCCCCAAATAATACCTACCCATACCATAACTAACCCTTCCTCCATGTCCCTCTTTTCCAATTATGTTGCTCTGAGCGTATCTCTCACGGGCGGTTTCACGCTTTAATCCTTCCATAATCTGGCTTCAGACAAAATATGGACTCTGTGAATAGAACTTGACTCACTTCAAGCTTCGTCATTCCAATTTTCGTGATTGCGATCATAATTAATTCCAGCTACTGGATTACATGTAGCAAGAATTGGGTCTCTGTGAATTTGTTCCGGCCGATTTCAGTATTTTTCTCACAGTTTTGGTGATTATTGTAACCCCTCGAACTTCTTGTAGCTTTGTTATTACTTTAGAAGAAGTTAAGGTCCTGTTTCTAAGCACGCTGGTAACGATGAACCGATTATCTCTGGCCACAGTTTTCCGTTTACATCTCTGTCCTGCGAGTGTCATATACTGTCTGGTTTGCCGATAGCTCTTCACAACTCGGTGTACCACAGATTTTGATACTAGTAATGTTTGGGTCACATGTTTGTAGGTGTGCCCAGTTTCGATTAAAGTAACAGCCCAGCCCAGTGGCGTTTAGATCTGACATTCTCAATTCACACTTAACACGACAAACAAGGCAAAAATTTAAACAAAACCTAAATTAAATAAACTCAAATTAAAAGTTGGCAAATTTTTCGCAGTATCAAAATATTACGCAATAATTACATAAAAACAAATTAAATTCGAAAAAAAGCATTTACCAATGTTTGTAATTACAATACGCACGGTAATTACAACAGGAGAAATTAAACTTCTTTTTTTTTAGCATTTCTTTAAATTTGTCCATGAGTGTAGCTTATTTGCAAAATAAGTACGTAGTTATAACTTAGAATATACATATGGCCGCTAGAGGGGGGCCGATGAGGTGCTAGCCTAGGGCGCTATCGATATTTAATCCGCCTCTGCCAACGTAGACTGTTGCTCGAGGTTGGTTACCGTACTTCTATAAGATAATGGTAGCCAACCGAGAGGCTTCGGTAGGTAGCCAATACAACCACTTTAAGAAATTTAAAACTGCTTTAATACTTGAAAAGTCCATACGCTTGTTTTTCAAAATATGAAATCCACATTTATATAATATAATATATATTACGTGTATAAGCTGGGATGCGTGCTCGCGCACGTGGACGACGGTAGCGCCGATGGCAGGCGCGCGTAGCACGTGCGGCGTAGCGGCGCTACGCGGCCGCCTATACGCCGCGGGCGGGCGCGATGGCGGCGCCTGCCTACGCTCCGTCGAGTGCTACGACCCGGCCACCAACCACTGGACAAACTGCGCACCCATGACGCGGCGACGCTGCGGCCTCAGCGTGAGTCTACCACTTTATTTATAAAACTAGCTGATACCCACAACTTCATCCGCGTTGCATGATATATCAAAAAACACACATCACTGAACACGTAGTGCTTTTAAAAATCGTTGTTTCTTAAAACTTTATATTAAATGAAGATATCGCAATATTTTTTTTAGATAAGGGCCAAGTGTCTAAGAAATAAAACTTAGAAAACCTTATTGAAATCTATCCAGTAGTTCTTCCGTAATGCGCGCACAACTGTAAACCCTTAGAGTAATTACACATAGAGTGATAGTGACATTCAAAATTCCGTTCAAAGTTGAAGCAACAACAAAATAAATGTGTGCATAAGCGGCCTGTAATTACGTTTGCCCACACGCACACAAGCAAATGAGTAATGTTTGCAAGTTAATGGCATTTTCCCCAAAAAGTGGGGAAAATGTAATAATAGACATCGTCATAGAATTAATATTTAGGTTGTGTTTATAATTATTTATTAACTATTTGCAAAGAGAAAAATGTAACATTATTTATTTTTGGTAACTTATGTAATATTTAAATTATTTATATACGTAATATCTTGTGTTATATTCACAAATCTGTACAACAGTACAAATCTGACAGTTCTTAACCGTGAAATGAGATTTTTACATTTTATTCGTGATTATGTGATGAGTTGTGACAGCCTTTCACAGTACAGTACGTCATTTTTTTTAAAAATTGTGCGAGCTGCTTACGCGACTATGTGGACTCGAGTACTAACGCGTCAAAAGTTGTACTTAGCCTTTAAAGGCTAACTTGAAATGGCTTCAATTTGCGTGTGCCTACTGCGGTTAATAAGCCTAATACTTCTATGTGTAAACCATAGTCATAATTACGAGTATAATACGTATGGTTACAAATTAAAAATCCAAAAAATACTTGTGTAATTGCTTTAATTCCATCATTACAGCATCACAAGTTCACTGCTGAACATAGCCGGCAAGCATAAGTCCACTCTCTCCCATTTTGTTGGCAGCCTCACACTGATCCCCACTAGCTGGATTCGATGTATGCAGTTGGCTCAGAACTATGTTTAATGACAATCAGGTGTCGTTCTATGGCGGTGTAAGAGTGTCGGTGTCGTAAGAGTTAACTATATCAAATGCCAGAAAAATCTTACGACTTTCGATAAATGGCGGTACAACCATTTCGTTTACGTGGAACGTTAATACCCAGACGGGCGCGGCGCGGCGACGGATAGCAACAAAGGTACGAAATGTGTGGCGGTGTGGCACTGCGACTATCAATTCGCCTGCTAAGCGTGAAGATTAATTCAATTCCCCCCTAACTACAACGGGAGCGACCTATATCCAGTAGTGAATTTTTAGAAGCCGATAAAGAAAAGAAGATAAAGGTTAATTAGCAAATAGGTGTGGTGTCATATTTTACATCAAATTTTGAAGTGAATACGTCTTTAAATTTGCTTCCATAGTAGGAGTCAATTCAGAAAACTCATGATAATAAAATCAGGGGATACAGTTCGGTGTTGCAGCTACATATCTATCACCTAAATCCAAAATTTGACTACACCACTCGAGAGCTTAAGAATGCGTTACGTGCAGTGAGGACGTAGCGGAGAGGGGAGCGCCGCCATTTTGAGGTCGTTTCGCTGCACGTATTCATGTTAAACACACGGCCCGGTCATAGTTTAAAGACCTTACAGTTGTGATACGCCTTTGATGTCAGCAATACCGTCGCCCGCGTAGGTATTGATGCGGCCAGCATGTATCCTGAGGGTTATCACGAAAATGGAAATAAAATAATTTTGGATATTATAATACTCATTATCACTTATTAATATTATGTACATACTTATAAGTTACAAACCTTTATTGAACAAAATAATTTTTTATTACTACAAGAAAAAACACATTTATAAATGTTGCACTGCCAAATGTTTTTCTGACATTTTCTTTTTATAGATGTTTTCAGTTTTCTGCTGCCGCTCATCTTCTGGTTCAGTTTCCCTCTATCACCTCTTACGATATTCACGGGCTGAATTGAGGTAGTGGATATGATATCACCGCCACTACACGATAAAATATCTTTCACAACTTTACAACTATTGTTGGACATCATTTGGGATGTTCTGCCCCATCGATCATATTCACCAGACCTCGCACCTTTAGAGTTCCACAAGTTCATTTAAAAGAAAGAAAAAATTTACTTAATGGGAGACTTTAACGCAAAACTAGGCACAAGAGAGAACGGTGAGCTGAAAGTAGGGAAATTCGGATTAGGGCAACGGAACCCTTGGGTTTGCCAGCAGCTGGGCGACTTCATGGAGAAAGAGGGACTCTTTATGATGAACTCTTTCTTTCAGAAACGGCCCCACAGGAAGTGGACCTGTTCGAGCCCCGACGGTTCGATTAAAAATGAGATTGCCTTCATTATGATGAATAGACGGCAACTGTTCAGTGATGTCCCAGTGATCGCGAGGGTGAAAACTGGTAGCCATTACCGAATGGTTAGAAGCACTCTGAACCTAAACTTTAAGTTGGAGAGATGTCGTCTAATGAAGTCAACGCTCCGTCTCCCCTCGTGCTCTAATCCAAAGTCCCGAAACCTTTCAGCTCGAATTACAAAACCGTTTTCAGTGCCTAGAAGATTGCAATGCAGTGGACAATATGAATGAAACTGTCCATGCGGTCGGAGGTAAGTTTTGCAAGACCCGCCGCAGAAGAACACAAAAACTATCCTATCACAATCCCAATCTCATGGCTGTTAGACGGGAAATGAAGCTGCAGTCTTCAGTAGATTTGATAGCATATATGCAACTGAACAGACAGATCTACAAATGCAAGCGGCGGGACTTACGCAACTTTAATTCTCGTATTGAAGAAGCGATCGAGCGAAACCAGCGCTCCAAATTCTTTACCAGAGATCTGTCTGCCAGAAAGAGCCAACTGTCGTAGCTGAAGACCGAATGTGGCAGCATCGTTTCCGGGACACCTGAGATTGAGAGATTCTATGGGCAGCTGTACACGTCACCGATGGAGCCACACGCAAATGTGATTAACGATCCAAGGTTAAGTCTTATCCGACATTATTCCGATGATATCCCGGACGTCAGTCTGAGCGAGATTAGAATGGCTCTCTAACACCTTAAAAACGGCAAGTATCCGGGCGGGGATAGAATTACAGCTTCTGAAATGGATAACCAGTACTTGAAGTCCTTCAGAAACTCTTTAATTCCGTCCTCCATAGTGGGACTACTCCGGAGGTGTGGAGCAGAAGTGCAGTGGTCTTGTTCTTCAAGAAAGGCGACAATGCTCTCTTGTAGAAATACAGACCAATTTCCCTTTTCCTGTTTTTAAGTGTTTTTACAGTACAGAACCAAAGTACGAAACCAATTCAACTGCAGAAAGGTGTAAGACAGGGTGACGTAATATCCCCGAAACTTTTTACCGCTGCATTGGAAGACATTTTCAAGCTACTGGACTGCAAAGGATACGGTATTAACGTCAATGGCGAGTACGTCAATGGCCTCAATAGTGTCTCCCAACAGATAGGTCTTAAGATGAAGATAGACAAAACAAAGATCATGTTCAACGTCCATGTCGCACCTATCCCCGTAGTTGTTGGGAGCACTAAGCTCGAAGTTGTGACGTATATGTGTGACGAATATAAACATATTTACCTGCTGGTACAAATAGTCCGACTATGTAAGTCCAACTTTGACCGCGAGGTCAATCGACGGATTCAACTCGGCTGGGCAGCATTCGGGAGATTATGACACATTTTCTCGTCAGGCATACCTCAAAACTAGATTGTACAACCAGTGCGTGTTGCCAGTGACGACCTATGTATCTGAGACGTGGTGCTTCACAGCTGGCCATATAAAAAATCTCAAAGTTAGCTATGCTCGGCGTTTCTTTGCTACGAGGATATCCGCAGTAGAACTTGAGTAACCGAAATAGCCCAAAGAATTAGTATGCTAAAGTGGCAGTGGGACGACCATATAGCTCGAAGATCGTGACGATCTGGCAAGACATGCAAGTAGTCAATGGATGCAGGTTACACGGGACCGTGCTTTGTGGCATTCCTTGGCGGAGGCCTATGTTCATCAGTGGACTTGTGAAGGACTGTAATAATGATGATGATGATGAATCTTTCACTCACCAAATGTCGCTAGTTGGCACAGAGGTGAAGTTTTTTGTTACACAATATAATTTAATTGATAAATTAGTTTTAAATAAATGTTTGTCAGTTTCTAGAGTATTATAATAATACACAAAACACATCCTCAGTGGTTTGATCTTTAATTTTATGCACATATTTTTTTTAATGTTCTACTTTTATGAATATCCCTAGTTTGCTTTATTCGTATCTAATCTAATCAGTATTAAATATATCTAATGTTACAGAATGAAACATTTACCCTTACATTATCCTAACAAATTAACTTCCCCGCTATGAAATCTGTCAAATATTTCATTTCATTCCAAAGTGGCGCCGCGCCGCCCTGGTGGCAGAAAAACTCGTGGATGCTCTCATTATTTTCGTCTATGCTTATAGATAGCATCAAACAGTAAATAGGAGGAATTCACATGACTGATCCCTATAAGTAAGCTTAGAGAGCCCACTCCGAATGTGTACAGGACCAACATAACAGAAACACCGATGGTGGGTTATCCTCTCACCACGTGAGATCCTGTAACCATGCAGCTGAGATGGAGTCGCGAGTAGAGATAAGTTTATCATGCATATCCGCATTGCCTCCACGTAACGGGATCGGGGTGTGATTGCGTGCAGGTGTGTGCGGCCGGCGGGTTCCTGTACGCGCTGGGCGGGCACGAGGCGCCCGCCAACACGGTGGGCGGGCGCCTGGCCTGCGTCGAGCGCTACGACCCCGTCGCAGACTCCTGGCTGCTGCTCGCCCGCCTCTCGTATGCGAGGGACGCCATCGGATCCTGCTTGCTGGGTGACCGAATAGTCGCAGTTGGTACGTTCTTTCGGAACGAAGTTCTTTTACGCAGCATACAGTAGAGTGAACTGGCTGAAATCATCACGTAAAGAAAAAACGTTATGCCTTTTCCCTCTCTTTCTCTCTGTCTCTTTCTATCATATACGGATGTATGTATATGTGTTCGTGCGAGTATCGAAATTCGAGCAGCAAGCATTATGCGCGGCTAGCTGTATAGCCTCAATTCCAAACATGTGTAAATATTATTTAAATTAATGTTAAAGTTTTAATTCACATGGGATTTATTAATTTATTAAGTTATTATTGCAATTTCGAAAGTCGAGAAACAAACTGCAGCAAGTGTAAATAATGCAAACTCAGTAAATTAATATAATATACTTTATTCCTGACAGTGGTCTCCAAGCGCAAATTTTTTTTTAGAATAAGAGTCGCAAACGAGCACACGGTCTATCTGACGGTAAGTAGATGCTGTAGTCCAGCTATACTCTAACTGCGGCCCGTCAGTACTTTGTGATTGGCCCATCTAAAATTCCAAATTTATTGTAAACCATCTTAAATTTCAACCTTTTTAACAGAGTTGTTACAGATTTTTTTTTGAAATTCCTACCCATGAAAGGTCAAACCCGAGACACAGATTACCTTGATACTCTTTGCAACTTTTTAGATCAGAATTAAATTAACATACAATAAATCGTGTGTCTGTGTACATATGGTTGTACTTCAATGACTGGATCCGAAAATGGATTTATTTCGTTATTTAAAGAAAAATATAATTTAACCAATTTAATAACATTTTATTGCATTATCCACCAAGAAAACTTGGCGGCGCGTGTAGTAAATCCAGAAATAGAAGCTGTAATGAAGACAGTTATCTATATTGTCAATTTTATACGAGTAAGAGAATTAAACCACAGAAGATTTAATAGCCTTCTGGAAGAACTTGGAAGTCAGTATAACGACGTCATTTTACATACCTCGATGCGATGGTTTAGTAGAGGAAAAGTTTTGGAAAGGTTTTCTTCTTTTTGTTTACCTCTGTTGCCTCTTACGACACCCACGGGATGATATGGGGTAATGGATATTCTTACACCGCCACTAGACGGTGGTACGTGTACTACTGGACGTGTGATACTGCGATCGTAAATCTGTTTGCTAGGCAACGATTGCTAGTAACGATTAAGGCAAATCTTTCTTAACGGGAGAGGCTCATGTTCCGCATTGGACCTCAACGAGCAAGGTGGAGATGTACAAGTATGGCTTTCAAATAATTGCTTTGCCTCTAGGTTTTTCTCAATGATAAATTTATATATATAACGCCACATACAGGTTCATAACATGGTAAGTTCTTTTTTACACCAAAATTTACCCTAATTTTGTATTATATTATTTTTATATTTTCTAACAGGCGGCTATGACGGAGTACAATACTTGAATGTAGTGGAGGTGTACGACTCTGAATCGAACAGCTGGCGTAAACTAGCGCCGTTAACTACTGGACGAGCGGGCGCTGCTGTTGTAGCCGTGCCGCCGCCGAGGAATCTCTTCTGATACAAGCAACACCAATTGTTCACTTACATACTTGCATGACAAAGATACACACGAATCGAACGACTGTGTATAAATGGAGACGTCTAAATTTGTTACCTTGTGCAGGAGGACTAAAGCACCTAATATTATCTTGTCATACACATTACTATTTTAGTAAGTAGCGAACTTATTTTTATTATTGACTAACTGTTCACTGCGACTTTGTCCGCGTGGAATTTATTACGATTGGATTTCATGAGTCTTAATTTTTTTGCGCGGAACCCTAATTCTTTTTCTAAAATAAAAGTAGCCTAAGGTACTCCTTAAAACATCAGCTATCTGCCAGTGAAAGTCCCGTCAAAATCGGTCCAGCCGTTTCGGAATAAACGGACAGACAGGCAAACAAAAATTTTAAAAATTGTTTTTTTTTATTAGTGCCGTATATGTTGTCATATGCATTTTTGTAATGTCAAAGTAAAAATCTGTTATTTTGACATTACAAACAGTCACTTCAATTTTATTTATTTGTATAGATTAGTTGTGTCCATAATTTGTAATTAAATAGATGGTATATGGACGTACGAAACAAAACAAATTAACAAACATATAGTAATTAACTTTTTTCTCAGAAACCTTGTCGAGCGCGCACAAATCAACTGACCTAAGTGTACCCCAGATATTATTAAAGAATTTGGTTGTTTTGTTAGAGTCACACTACAGATGTAGGTATTATGACTGCTGCATAAATGGCTCTCCCAAAATACAAGCGTAAAATAGCAACATAATTTGGTGATATCATTCCATCATAGTTGACTGACTTGCAATGCATCTGCATTTTGATTCTTTATGGAGTATTCATTTACCATAAGATGGATATAGTTGGTATGTGATTTTATTTAAATTTCGATTACTATAAGTTCGCTATACCTACTATTCGGTTCTATAATATGAAATTTATAGTATTTTTTTAATTACAAAAATATTTTCAAGTTCCTTTATTACAAATATTAGTTTATATAAATGAGTACATGAAAAGTATATTAAGTAAATGAAACCAGTGATAAGATATATTTAGGCTATGTGAAATTGTTAATTTTTAAAATATATTTAATTAGAGTCACCTACGTTTATGCAGGTATGGTGCTTTTTACACATTGTAAACTGTGATTCATTTAAAATCTGTACTTATTTACATTCATGTAATTCTTTTGGCATTTTTTATTTTAATAAATAGAGGAAATGAAAAAACTAAAATTCCTCAACAGAGGTTTGTACCACGGAGCAAATACAAAGAGGAGGTGTTGTTATTAGATTTCACTATGTAATAACGCGTGACAATTTGCGGGGTAAGGGGATGTTAAGCCCCGCCCACTTTACTATTTTCCATCTACCGATAAATAGTAAAGCTACTCGCATCGTTCCATATCGATGTTGCAATGTAGTTTAGCTACCTTGACGATAGATGGCGGCCTGTTCACAAAATGATTATAAAAACTATAAAAATAATATTATGGCCATTAAAAATTCTGTAAGACTGAATGCAAAACAAATTTCAACACCTTTGTATGATTATTTTACCAATACTGAGCCCTACGTAACTTTATATTTTTAGTTCCCATGACACAAAGTGTTGCCATCTAGTATCGAATATATTTAATTACATTTGAAAGCCGATGCAAAGATTTTTCTAGAACCTTTTTAACTAATTAGGTATAAAATTACTTACAAGTGAAATTTGATGCCATCGATAAAACAACACTTCATCCTTTTCTCCTTAATACTACGAAAATACACCGATTTGCTACTTTCGACACATAAGCGCACAGGACGAACACTGACAGTATACTAAGTAAAGCCACACCCACTGTGATGACGTCAGAACCTAGTTAAAATCACAGTGCACAGTTGTTTATGCCATCTCCTCTTTGTATTTGCTCCATGGTTTGTACCTAATATTTTTATTTTTAGTAAACCATTTATAGCTTTAACATGTAAATACATCTATGTGGCCATTTATTTGGTTACATTCATTGCTAGTTGGCCTTTTTAGACCGATGATGACGCTTAAGGATGCTCTATTTTTTATATTTAGTGTTTGTATACTTCCCTTTTATTATTATCTTTGTACGGTATAGTACCTATATAACTTGCATTTAAATTGTACTTGCTTTTAATTGTTTGCAGCCCATGATAGTCCAGCCACGATTAAAATTTGTTAGTGATATTATAGTGTCCTTAGACAGAATAAACATTTCATGCAATTATTATTACGTGATGATCTCAAACTTTAGGTTTAAAAATAGCAAAACATATGAGACTGTGCTTTATTAAAAGACTTGAATTTATTAAAATGAAATAGTAATACCGCTAATCAAGTATTATCGAAGAAGACAATTGTTTCGTATAATACGTATAATATCATATCTTTATATCAATATCTTTTTCTGTGAATATTATGTTGAATATTGTGTTACAATGTTAACTTGATACTGTTCACTTGAGGCTTGTGAACCTATGTTATGCAATTTCAAATAAAATCAATATTTTAAATTGGCCACAAGATTACATAATCTAAAGGGCCTACCGGCACAGCAAATGTAATGTATTCGAGCAAAGTATACTTACATAGAAATACTTAATTTATATTGTCATTTGTATATTATTTTAAAATATCTATAGCAATTACCTCCATTTTACAATATAAATCGCGCCAATAATCAAACGGATCTAAAACGTTGACTTGTAAATGTATTTACAGTTCGGAGTCAGTAAAATATGAAACCATATTAATATTTATTTGTGACTCTTCTACCCAAGTTTTTTCATGAGCTACTATTTTCCGTAGAGTAAAAAAATCCACGACAAAAATCAATAATAATTTAATTTAACAAAACGTATTACAAAAAAAAATTATATATAGACGGCTCCGTGGCGCAGTGGCTTAGCAATGAGTTGCTGCGCTGGGGGCCGCGGGTTCAAATCACGCACGGTAGAAGTATTTGTATGGCCTACAAATAATTTTTCCGGATCTGGATGTTTGTCCTTGTGCAATTTGTGTTTGTAAACTGCCTCCACGATACAGGAGAAAATCCTAGTGTGGAGGTAACGTTTAAAAAAATTATATTCAGTCTGTTTTATTCATGTATTACGGATATGTGTGAGAGTCATAAATAAATATTAATATGATTTCATATTTTTCTGACTCCGAACTGTAAATACAATTACAAGTCAACGTTTTAGATCAGTTTGATTATTGGTGCGATTTAAATTTTTTTTTTTTTTTAGAGAACGTAAGTCAATTTCTAAAAGCAACAAAAAAATGCGTTATGAATTTTTCTTATATAAAAACAGTAACTGTCGTAAATGAAAATACAACTGCGTGGTAGGCATATTTACGCCCGAGCGTTCCGCCGCTGCGACACAGTTTTTGTTCTGAATTGCCGGTCTAATATTATAATACATAGAAGTCTTTGAATTATACCAATTTTTTCTTGTTAATTGATGTTTCTTCGATTTATATTTTTTTTTTTTTAGAAATCGTAAGTGAAATTCTGAATAGATCTGAACTTTTGTTGCGTTAAGAATTTTTTATTTTATTTTATTATATACAAACACAGACCAAGAAAGAAAGACGAAGCGCTGCGTGCATTTCAAAAGTTGCCGCAACCGTGCTCACCCAAAGATGTATTAAAAACATCTTAGTGCTCACCTTCTTAATGTACCTACTCAAGCACATATTCTTACTTTCTATAACGTCTCGTTAAATTGTCATTACATATGTGCACCTAAAACCATATTATTTGAAAATTATTTTATACGCATATGATGAGTCCGTAAGTGCGTGTTCTTACAATAAGTTGAACGTGGTTTAAATTTACGCAATAATCTGTTTTCCTTTGTTAGTCTCACTATACAAAATTAAATGTCATCAAGATATAAAAAGAAACACAGTACCTCCGTTTCACTGTGGCCTATGAGTTTTCCGATTGTTTTTGAAGGTTTTGGTATAAATAGAACTTATCAGTATTATTTTTCGAATAAAAATTAAATTACGCGTAACTTTTATGTTTGTGATCCATTCCGAAAATATGTATTATGGGATAAATTTTTTTGGGTATTGTTTAAAAACCAGTGTCATGATCTCATTAAAGATCAGTAATACTACTAGAAAATTATGCCGTAAAAGAAATGTATTTTTAATAAAAATACGATTTCCATATTTTTGGTAATTTTAGCAAGTTATGACACTTCAAAGGTTGTTAAACTTTGCACACAGATAATTAGCCTTAGGCCAGTATTCAGAGACAGTATCGAGTTTTAACATAAACCTCACAATGTCAAAATCTGACTAGAGCAATAAAGGATGATTACACGGGGCGCTGCGTACATTTCAAGTAACGCAAAAACCATGCTCAAATTTTTGACACGCACTCACACAGACCTACGCACCTAAAACCATGTTTGTTGCAAATTATTCAGATACATATGTGTGTGTTAGGACATGTTCCTACTTTAAGTTGAGCATGCTTTTGGCTTGTTCTGAGGATTACTAATATAATATTTTGGTCCATAGTCTAGACACAAATTTTGACATTGTGAAGTTCAAACTTGTCCCTGAATAATACGGGCCTTAATAACAGCTTTATATTTTGATATTGTAAGAAAATATTAAATGTAACACGTATCACATAATGATTATAAATAAAGTGTGTAAAAGTAGTTGATATTTACTTTTTAACCCTGTCCTGTGCGGTGGTGACGTAAAAGAATCCACCCCCATTTCGGCCGGTATGGGTGTAAGAGGTGACAGAGAGAAACAAGTCGGGAGATGGGCAGCAGCGTCTTCCTAGCGACTATGGAAAACGCTAAAAAGATCTCATGGCTTCCGAAAGATAGCGGTATAACCAGCCTCTTTACGCCAGACTTAAAATACTCAGGCAGGAGACAGCTGCCCCTCTCGGATTAAGATTAGCGTAAGAATATTAGACAAAATTTGAGCAATAAAATATAATGTAACATAACAAGCTGGAATTTGGTATAGTAACTCAGTAAGTAGATTTAAAATTCCCCATGGCTCCTCTGCTTGCGTCCTAAGAAGCTGAATCTTCATTAAATTTCTTCTTCTTCTTCTTGTCTTTTTAGTCTTCTTTACATCAGGAGTCACCAACGTTCGCTTAATTTCTTTGACTTTAGCTCTTTTCTAGCTCTTATTATTTCTGTTCTTTTTCTTTAAATTTCTATTCAAGAACTATAAACCAATGAAGTACTTCAATGACTGTACGAATGTACCGATGAGTACTTCATAACCAAAAATTAATGACATGGCTAGAAAAGTGTAATTACGGGATAATTTTTCATCAAAATATATTTTCGTTTTATTTATGTATCAAATTATGTAAATATATTACAGAAAATCAATAGAATAAAATGATTTTTATTCAATATTGATTATTACATAATACTTATTGAAAGTCATTTTTTTATTTACCACTGGTTCAGAAAATACCTCAGTCCTGGGAAGAACCAGCAAGAAACCCAGCGGAACTTTTTTTTAAACATAATTTCACTTAACAATAATTTTGTTTACACAATTTTAAATGAATTTTCATAGAACCAGCATGGTGGCGATCACCTTATTCCCAGGGGTTATTTTCAGATTTAAATAAAGGTATTACTTTACTATACTTCATTAAATCAGGAAAAACACCAGAATCGATACAAGTATTAAAAATAATAGCAAGATGAGGTGCAATTAAATCGACACAATCACTGTAACGGAAATTCCCCACAAATCTGCGGTTTTATTTACATCAATGATTTTGAAGTATAATGTACAACAAGTACAACACGACTTCAAAAGGACAAAAAAATACTTACCAAGCTGGTAAACAAACATAAACCAACTCTTCGGCAGTTGACGTTTCAACTGACTTGGCGTGTCGCTCAACGAACTTGACTGACTGAAATAAGGCGGAGAACACTCGATTAATCATCACACACTACTTGATAGTTTTTTTTTTTCATGGCAAGTGTACGAATGTTCCCGCCGTACGAAGGGTGCCGATCTTCCCTTAAGTGCTGAAAGATTATTGAGGTCGGATATAGATGACGGTAATATTCTGGGAATTATCGGATCCAGGACCTCCATTACCTTATTATAAGGTATGTACGGCATTTTTTGTTCTTTATCAATTATATATCATAGATAAGATAGGTCGAATCTGTACTAAAACCGAATCAGAACGCCTCGACTCCACGTGGTCGTGTACCTGTCCTACTCCTTGTGGTTTTTAAAAACCATAGGTACGGAGGGACAGCAGCCCCCGCCCACTGTGGCAAATCGCAGACATCTGTGCGAACCGTTGAGGCTGAGGCTAATCGAATCGAAGGCCATCAATAAGCCGAAGCTGCGGAGGTGAGCATGGGTGCCCGTGATTTGCTACGCAAAGGCGAAGGAGCTGCACTCCCCGCAGCGCCGAAGCCTTTGCAGAAGTAACTATGTCAATATTGTCAACCTTTTTTTAAAGGTATTTTTACTTTGTGGGTTTTAAATCATGTTATGGAAAAATTGTCTGATAAGTAATAAATAATAGCACTCATTGCGATCGCTCACAAACTCAAGTTGTAAATAAATTTCTGGAAAACAAGTCTCCTGTTAAAAAAAGCAATGCCAAACGCATTGCTTTTTTTGTCTTATTGTTTAATTTTGCTTAAAATGGTTGAACTGCCGTCTTATTACTATCATATGGCCGAATAGACCTACGAAGTACCACGCGCTCTTGTGATATGGTATAAGGTTTATTTTTGCTTGAAACAGTTCGAAACCGTTCAAGCATAAAAAAAGTTCGCTAATAAATAGTCTTTTGTCAATCCGCCGCCGTATAGCGCAGGCGTTTATTTCCTTTCGAAAACACTTGTTTTGCTATTCTTACTAATTAAACGTTTTCAAATCGACTCTACATTTGTATAACATTAAATAATATTTAACATTTGTAGATATTAATGAATCATAAACCTTATTTTTTTCCAAATTATGGTTCTTGATTGTTTGATATTTACAAATATTATTATGAGGTGAAAATTTAATCTTACACTACTATTATAAAGAGGAAAGATTTGTTTATTTGTTTGAATTGAATAGGCTCCAATACTACTGGACCGATTTGAAAAATTCTTTAACCATTAGAATCCTACATTATCCCTGATGAACATAGGCTATATAATATTTTCAAAAAAGTTAGGGATCCATATGAAAACTTCGTTAATGTAACCCAAGGTGTGAAAAAAATACCAAAAAGAATCCTTATATCGCGTACACTGCGGAAACTATTGACAATAGATGAAAGTAATGTACTTCAGTTTTAAAGAGGATATCAATATCTACAAAAAAAGTCTGCGATACCATATGTTTAACTATTATAGTTATGTCACAATAACTACTTTTTCATGTAAAATGTGAAATAGTAACGCCGGTACAAACTAGGCCACATTATTCGTATCAGTAGCTGTATCATCCATAACCATTTTTATACGTGGTAGAGCCATGCTGCATCTATATTATGGTTGTAGCACGAATGGGTCGGCTCGACCGGGGAAGGACCACGCTCTCACAGAATACCAGCGTAAATTAGCAGCTTAACGCTGCTGTGTTTCGTATGGTGAGTGTAGAGAACCGGAGACCCTTTTTACTGGAAACGAGGCATTCAATCTTAGTCCTCACGGGTGACAACGCACCTGCATTTTGACTCTTAATCGAAGAATCGAAGATAGATGTAGATGTCTATGGGCCACAGCGACCACTTACTATCAGGTGGACTGTGTGCTCGTTTGTCACCCTTATCCTATAAAAAAAAACCCACCAATTACGTTAACCATGTAATTTTAGTAACATATTTCACTTTTTAAATCTTTGTTAATTCAGCAACCGTCCGTCGTGATGTCTCTCTCGAAGTTCGCATGTCGCAAGGCGCAGACGCGTGATATGCGCGGGTGAAACCGCGGTACAGCTAGTTTAATAAAAACCATGGTTTTCAGGGTGATTTAGCTGTACCTACTTATATAAATGATTTGTTTATAAAACAAAAAATAGTACAAAATGTTTGTAATCTCTGCATAAAAAAAAAGTCACTTGCTCTCAATTTCAAAGAAAACACGTAGTTACCCACTAAAAACAAGTATCCTTCCGTTTGTAACTGATGTTTGATGTCAACTAAACTTAGTTAGGTCTAAACAAGTGAAAAAAGCATAAAAAAGGTAATTATTTTTACACATGGCTAATGGCACAATAGGCGTGTCATCAACTTCTGTGGAAATATTTGTTCGCCGCCACAGCTAAAAGTTGTCGAAATTTGGTGCCGCAACGAATCGGTTAAGAGTTCACTAACCTTTGAATTTTGTACCAACCACGAGATACTGAATAAACAACCTTAAATTAGGTATACTAACTAGCTCCCTATACCTTTTAGACTGTAATAGAACAGTCCAGGCGCTGCTATTTGGCGACAGGAAAACATAAGAGGGTAGCACCTACACAGACGAAATTCTAGGCAGGAAAGGATGCCCATGTACATACATATGTCTGGCAGAAGGAATTTATCTGCTCCGTGATGAAGGATTTCATCATGTTTCTGGAAGAATAATCATATAGATGGTGGAAGACATGAACATGATGAATTCCATAAAGTTAGGCAGTTGTTGCTCCCTGTCTTGCGTTAAAAGTCAACACGGTGTATTGAGTCACACACATTCCTCCAAGTATTGTGTGGCTGTTGTGATATCCTTATACGAGTAGATCTCCAACTCATCAAGATTGATACGTAAGTTTGTATGACCTTCAGCCCAGTTTAATAATTATAATTTTTACGGTATTATTAATGAGACATAAATAAGGCACCCCTTTAGGACGCCGCTATCTCAGTGCTCAATTACTATTTCCTCTGAGTTCAGATAATTCTATAATATTCCAACATAATTTCTCTAGCAGCAGGACCGCCAGAGACTAGACACCTTTTTTTTCTCATATAAATATCTCACCAATTTTATATTTGCCATGTTTGGCTAGGTAGTTGACAACCGCAGTTTTTTATTATTACATTATCAGAAAGATTATGCTACGCATCTCCCAGTTTCATTTTGTCGCCTCTTATGACACCCATAGGATGATATGATGATATTATGAGGTAGTGGATAATCTTATTCTGCACCTCCACCACATTGAATAGTATGTACTTTATGTGACTTTTAATCAGAAATAATAATACAAAAGTTTTTGTTAATAATTTATTACTTTGTGTAATGATAACATCATACGGAAATTATCTTGCAGAACTTATTATTTAAAAGCAAAGCAGTTTTAATAATAAGTATGTTAAATTAGAAGTAACAAATTAAACCAATATTGTTAACTTAAAGAAAATACTTGCTTTGACATAGGTTATGTAAATAAATGTGGTACTTAAGATATAGAAATATTAAGATTCATCGTCACTGCCTGGTGCTGCTTTAGGCTTTGGACCACCTGCTTTCTTGGCCATTATGATCTGGTTTACTTTCAGAATGGTATTAGCTGCCTCCACAGCATATTTAATGCCCCAATTTTTAAGAAGAAATGAATCGTAAATGCCCTTCGCTTTTGCATCACATGCATCACTGCCATCTGACTCAATATCATATCCATAAGTTTGTTTCCCATCCTTCAAATGAAAAAAAAAACAAAAGAGAATTAATACCGAAGATATTTTTATTAAAAATTTAATTGTTCTTTCTATAAAGGAAATTTCATAAATATATAATAAAGAAAAGTTGGAAAGTTTGAAAGGCTGGAAATCTAATTGTTGCATAAAGTAAACATTGCTCCTATTGGTTTTGAAATTAATCATATTTAATATTGCACACCGCAATGCTGAAATATATGAGGTGTGCTTATGCTTGAAAACATGTATACTAAAATATCTACTATTTCCTAAAAACTAAAAAATCTCTGGGTATTATTTTTATGCTATTTTAAAAATATAATATTGTTCTAAGATGTTCATTGCCTTCTTGAATGTTCCAAATGTTTCACTGCAAGCTGTGGGTCACAGGTTCGAGACCCACAGCTTGCAGCTTGTAGTATGGGAACACTACTTTTTATATAGCTTTTGGGCCTGGGTGTTTGTCGATGTGTAGATTACGTTTATGGTTTTCTACTGATGGTAATTACTATTCCAGCTCATGGACAACTGCAACCAACTTCATAGAATACTACAGATTTGTTGTCACACCAAAGTCCAGAGGATTTTTTTTACTTATAATAGTGACCTGCCCTGGCTTCAGAGTAGGATCTATTAATGCAGCATCATTTAGAATTTGAGATAATCATCAAAGACCATTTTATTTCATCTATTTCAATATCTCAAAAATCAGACAGAAAGACAAATATTTGCAAATTATTCCACTCCTTTGCTATACTGAATATATAAAAGACAATATTTTAAATAATATTTATAGTGTATATTACTTTACGAATTTAGGAGTAAAATATTTTAAAGCATCATAACTAATTGGCATAAAATTGGATTGAAATTGACTACACAGCATTTGCATGTACTTATTAAAAATATTATGTGTTCATACCTTGTGAGCTTTGTATATACTATTAATTACTTCAGTGGCATTTGCACCAGAATTATCTGCTAAAGTTCTTGGTATACTCTCAAGAGCAATAGCAAACTTTCTTATAGCATACTGCTCGAGACCAGGTAATGTATCAGCATACTGAAGAAGTTTCTGTGCTAATTCTATTTCTGTTGCACCAGCACCAGGTAAGAATCTGCAACAAGGAATTCAACAGTTATTTCATAGATTTTTAACCTAAATTAATATATTAAAATGCATAGTTTTTTACTTACCGCCCATCTCTTGTAATTGCTTTGAAAGTGTTGACACCGTCATCAATCGCCCTCTCAATGTCATCCATATAATTATCAGTTGATCCTCTAATAACAACAGTAGATATGCGTGATTCTGAAGTTTCCATTGAGAAAACTACCACTCTAGTGTCACCAAGTTCATCCACTCTTACAACATCACAATATCCCAGTTCTTCAGCTGTTGGTGTAGTAAGTCTTGGCAAAACCTTAAATTTTAAGTACAATAATACTCATTATAATTCACACAAAAGCAATAGTAACACAAATTAACAACTTTTTATGTTGAAAAAATATATACACCCCATAACTTACCTACCAAATAATACTACTAACTAACAAGACCCACAAATTACCATACAAAATTACAAAGTTAATAGGCAGTATATATCATACATTGCTACTCATCAGACTGCAGTATTCAATGGTTCAGGAGCTCGACTATGTATAAAAAAGTGCCATTTAAATTACAAAAAGTTAAATGAGTTATGGAATGAAATATGTTTTATTTGAAAAAAAAATTTTTTTATAGTATGGGCTTAACAAACGAGCACACAGCCCACCTGGTGGTAAGTGGTTACTGTGGCCCGTAGACATCTATCTCAATTAAGAATTAAATGCAGATGTGTTGTCACCCCTGAGGACAAAGATGGAATACCTCGTTTCCTGTAAAAAGGGTCTCCGGTTCTCTACACTCACCATACAAAACAGAGCAGCATCAAGCTGCTATTTTATGCTGATATTCTGTGAGAGCATGATCCTACCCCAGTTGAACCGACCCATCCATGCTACAACCACAATAATATAGCTGAAGCATGGCTCTACCATGTAATAAAGCATTTGAAATGCTTTTTAATAAGTAATTAAATAATGATAAGGGCCTTTTAATATTTCAATAAATAGTTTCATCTTTTGATATATAAGTAAGGATAACAAACTTGCACACAGTCCAGCATAGATGATAAGTAGATGTAGTGAATCATAGACACCTACATCTATCCTTGATTAAAAATCAAAATGTGAATGCATTGTCATGTAAAAGAGCCAGTAAAAAGGATCCCCAATACTCATTACTAACTACAATATGAAACAAAAGCGTTATTCTACTATTTAACCAACTAAAATATTAGTGAGCATGGTCATTCCCTGGACAAACCACCTCATCTAAGCTGTAGTCACAATATGCTACAGCATGGCTTTACCACATAGAAAACAAGTCTTAAAGCCCTTATGACAATTGCAATAAGTTTTGCAAAGATATAATGAGGTTTTTTTATAAAATATTTTGTTTAGTGATTTCTATTTTAATACTATAGTTCTGGTCAAAACAAGATTTTTTGCATACTTAGCCAATTTCCGAGTGTCTTAAACATGCTTAATTGGATTTAGAGGCTGTGTTAACCAATCCATAGTATATATTCTAAACTCATCAAAGGCAGAAGCAAAAAATTATTAATTATATATATATTATAAACAAGGCCATCCTCATTTCTACAATGGGGGAAGCTTATATTCAGCAATGATGGTTACTAGCAAATGAAGAAGAAAACGCACATCTAATATATTGATACAGTCCAGCAGTTTAGTAACTCTTACAAGCACTCAAGTGATGTTTTCTCAAATGAAGCTTAGGACATCACAAGGCCATATGCAAAAGGTAAATTTAATAGTTAAAAATACTCACAGTGGCATTAACAGTCTTTGCCAGGCGACGTAGATCAAATTTTGAATTTAGCCGAACAGCCATCAATCCATATTTGTTCAAAAAATGTAAGGCCATATCACCAAACTTTGCACCAGCTACAATCACTTTGACACCAGCATCTGCTATGTCCTTTATTTGTTTCTCGAGAAGTGATTCTTCTCCCCTGCTAAAATTAAGAAGTTCATCTGCTGTCTTGATAAGCACTGTGCCTTTTGTTTCTGTTTGTGTAATATCAACAGGGCATGAATAAACAGCTACTTTAGCTTTGGTGGCAGATGTAATATCTCCTTCCACTTCTCTTTTGAACACCATTCCAGAAAGAACTTCGGATTGTTGAAGTCCAGCACCAAGAATCTAAATTAATAAATGTATTAATAAAAATCTTTTTATAAAATATATATTTCTATTTTAAAGAATTCCCTCTACATACCTTGCAAATACGAACATTATCAACATTGAATGTAGTCTTCTCTGGTAGAATGGCAACACATGCTTTTGCCACAAGTCTGGCAATGAAATCTTCATTTCCATACTGTTTGGACATAATGGCTGGTTTTATTCCAGCAACAACAGCTTCAATATCCTTGTAGTCCTTGATTTCGTGACAAACAAGGTCAGGAAGTAATTCAAGACATTTGTCAAGGGCTCTTTCATATCCCTCTGTTATTTCACTGGGTGTAACACCTAGACGTAATAGTTCTTCTGCAGCTTCTAATAGTGCTCCAGATAGTACAATAACAAAGTTAGTACCATCACCCACTTCAGAGTCCTGCATTTGACTTGCTAAGACCATAAGCTTAGCAGCAGGGTGCTCTACATCTAGCTCTCTGATTATTGTGCCAGCATCACTTGTAACAAATTGTTTCTCTATATGGTTGATAATCATTTTGTTCATGCCATTGGGTCCATAAGCAGAACGTACACTTTGTGCAAATTGTTTACAAGCATTAATGTTACTATACACAGCTTCTTCCAAGCCTGATAACATCTATAAAATGGTATGGTTATGTTAAAAGTTAAAATAATAATATCATAAAATTATAGCTGCAAGAACCGGGCTTATTAGTGATTTATAGTACTTATAACATCAGGGTACATATCCAAATGTAATTTTCGGGTATACAATTAAATTTACGCATGTTTTTATTTACTATGAATAAGAAATATAACATTTTTAAGCGATAGGAAAATCATGTGTTGGTTAGAGGAACTCCGCACACATGATCGGCATTTGCGATTTTTGGTTATGAACTTTAACTTACCCGAGCACCTTCTTTTAGCATCTGAGGTACCCCCGGTGCCTTAGGAACATGTAAAGCCATTTTGGTGAGTATTTAATTATTATTAATAACTTTATTTAAAAGAAAATTATATCGGCTACGGCAAATACAAAATTTCATGAATTCTGGCTTCTACCAAAGAGTATAATAAGCATAGATAATACACTATATACCAGGGAATAATAACCACCGAGCACAGACTAACTAGAAAGTAGAAACGTTAGCTTCTCTATCTATAGAGATAGAGGATATGTCTATGTTCTCTATCTGGTCTGTGCTAACCTTTGAGCATAGAAAATAGAGGAGCTGCCCAGAGCATCTATATGTTTTATTGGTTATACAAATATGATTATATTCGACATTGAACTGTCAATATGCTGCCTATCTCTTTTTCACTTAGCGAAATGTAAGTCTAAGTGTCATTCATAAATGAAACAGATAATAGAAATTGTTTCGTATTCTGGTAAACATTTTTAAGATGACGTCATTCAACCCCGCCTTGCCGCCGATTCCGCCATTTATTGTTTCAGATTTGCTGTTATAAAAAGTCGTTTGATATTTCTTAATTTGAAAATTTTGCGAATTTTTAAACAGTTTATAGTGAATTTTCTAATTCATTATAAAGTAAGAAGATGACTAAGTGTTGTGTAAGAGGCTGTGCTTCAAAATATAGTCAAAAATCACGTGAACTATCATTTCATATGTGAGTGATTTAGTTTTTGCTGTAAATATAATGTAAAAACGTTTATACAGGTTATTTTTGGAACGCTTCCGAAAACTAAGACAGGCGACAACACCAAGTACACCTTTGATCATGGGTCACAAATAAATTCGATCCTGATGAAAAAAAAAATCATCTTTTTACAACGTTTTATTAGCTTTATTCACGCGCCATCATGTTAGTACAGCTAAATGAAACTATAATTTCATAAAATATATCATGAAAATACTGAAACATAAAACCAGCAGTGGAATGACTGAATTTATATCACCTGACTGAAAGGTCAATGTACGCGCGAACGCAAATTCGCGCGGCCCGCAACTAGCGGGCCATACCACAATATCTAATAATTTACAACACTTGTCTAAATACCTAACTTATCTACTTAACCTACTATTTTGCCACTGTGCTTGTCTCCACTTAGCCACTTTAATCCGAATTTACAGGTTAAATAACCCAAATAACTGGTTCGATTCCCCGCTAATGAAAAAATACTTAAATGAAATGTAACCAAGGTTGGAGTCATGAGTTTTTATTCATCGTGTAGGTATGTTTATTATTCTCATGTATTCAGTTATGTACCTATTCAGATTAGTCTAGTACTAAGTTATTTAAAAAAAATAGGTATGAAACAGCTTACCGCTCTAAATCCTCCGTGGTCTTATGAGATGCGGCTCAAATTGTGCTCCATTCATTTCAAGGTAGATTTGGGTGCAGACGGGGCCATCATCGTGTGGTCTTCGACACAGTCCGCACGTAGTTTCTCGAAAGCATCCACGATCCTTTGTATGGCGCATTTCTTCAGCACTATCACATTCACGATTAAAAACCCTTTCTTTCACATACCCCACAAAAAGAAGTCTAACGGAGTCAGATCTGGTGAGCGAGGTGGCCAAGCGTGTGGTCCTAGTCTGCCGATCCAGCGATCATCAAATAGCTCATTGAGGCGCTCACGGACGAACCTCACGAAATGTGGAGGGGCACCATCATGTTGGAACCATGTGCGGCGATATTCAGCCAACGATAGGTCGTTTAAAATGTCAACCAACTGTTCATTTATAAAGTTTAGGTATCGCTGTCCGTTCAGTCGCTCTGGCAGAAACACTGGTCCCAGTATGCGATCCTTAAATAAACCTGCCCATACGTTAAACGACCATCGGGTTTGGTGCCCGGTTTGTCGAACAGCGTGCGGGTTAACCTCTGAATAAACGTGTGTATTTCTTCGGTTCCACAGGCCGTTTCTGGTAAATGTCGACTCATCCGTCCAGATAATGTGCTCAGTGGAACCAGGCACACGTTGTTGCTGGTATAATAACCAACGGCAGAAAACTCGTCGGCGGTCGTGATCGCCGGGAACTAAAGCCTGCACTTTGTGCAATTTGTATGGGCGCATTCGGTTACGCTTCAACACTTTGTGCACTGCACAGTATGACACACTTGTTCCATCCCGACGTCTTAACAATTTATTTAGCGATACTTCGTGTACCTAGGTTCGGATACCTAACATGTTGCCGTATTCATAATCACTATAAACGTACGCGTTAAGCATTATTAAAACAAAAAACGTAACAACAAGAATAATACCAACAGGTAATCACAAGTATTAACAATTTAATAAAGAAAACGATTGAGCTGTCGCTCGCGCACGCGTGTACAAAATCAACACGGAACTGTTTCAAAAACTACAATTAATAACGAACCCCGACGAATAAACTGAAACCTACTGCGTCACAGCGTGAGGCGACACGAGCCGGCCGGGTTACATTCTGCCGTCAATATAAAGAAGGACGCAACTAACAAAAACGTAAAATGGAAATAAAAAATAAATTTATGAATTTTTCTTTCAGACCCCGTGTCTAAAGTGGTCTAAAGTATATTAAAAGGTATCTATATGAAAATTGAAATATGTACGTAGAGACATGAAGATTTTAAGGACGAACTTATTTTTTACTAACTAAAATTCTTACGATAATTTCTAAAATATTGATATTTGTGAATATTAAAAAAAAATAGTAGATGCGCCTTCTTATCATGAGTCATGGTATATTTAACTCATTTATTCAAAAATTGTTAGATGCGCCCTTTTTTCTTACGACCGCAGCATTGTTTCGTACCGAGCTAGATACAGGTCGACAGCGGAGAGAGTGTGGGTACAGTCGCGTTCTAAAGTACTACATGGTATTGGGCTATTGTTTTATAATATTATAGTAATTAATTGTTTAATTGTAGAATCATAATAGGTGTTTTACTATTTACTTAGAACTTTGGAAGAGGTGGGAATTAAAAATGGATAATGTTTACTTGAGCATTATTTGTTATTTCTATCGTAAAATATAAAGTAGTTTGTAACCAAAAAAACTTAAGCTAAGGGTGACACGCCGTCCATTATGACGTCTTGGGTCACATGAAAGTCAGATGTTGATGGTGTGTTGGTGTTACTGGATGCTACTTCATCATCACTTTCATCTTCGCTTGAGCTTCCGTCATCAGGTCGATCACATGGTAATTTTTTCGGTATTCTCCCTCAACACTTTACTGCACAATTTTCCCCATTCACCTTCTCCTATCATATTTACCTTTTCGTTCACTAGTTTAGTCATAAAACAATAGATATAAATAATTTTCGTTTCCTTCCTTTTTAAAACATCCTCGCGAGTCGCAAAGTAAGCTGTGTATGCGACTGTATTTTTGGAGCGAACAAAGCGCGGGAACCAATAGCATGCAGGCACAGTAATACTGGCGGATTGTTCCCCCGTCGCGCCCCTTCGTACCTATATGTGATAAATCGCTCAGTGCCCAAGTTCAAGGCCAGCGTTCTTTTTTCACCGTTCGCGCGTACATTAACCTCCATTAGTCAGGTGATATCAATTCAGTTTCCACTGCTTGTTTTATGTTTCAGTATTTTCATGATTTTTTTTATGAAATTATCGATTCATTTAGCTGTACTAACATGATGGCGCGTGAATAAAGCTAATAAAACGTTGTAAAAATATGTTTTTTTTTTCATCAGGATCAAATTTATTTGTGACCCATGATCAAAGGTATACTTGGTGCTGTCGCCTGTCTTAGTTTTCGGGAGCGTTCCAAAAATACCCTGTATATTTTGCGACAATAAGTAGATGGATGTAATTATTTACCCTAAACCTTTAATTCATATTATTTAATTACTTCTTATCATTCTTTGCGTATCTATAAAATTTTGTTGTTCGTTAACAGTGATGTTACATTGCTAACAATAAATTCTTTCAAGGACATACTTTATTAAGGTTTTTCTTGATTTATTCTGTCATATTAAGTGAAAAAGTTTTGCGTTATGCATTGCATTATTTCGGTGTCATGGGTCTGAGCAGTGAGCATAAATGATTAAATAAATTATACGGAAACGGAGTTACATTCATGTTAGGTAGGACCTACGGTACCTACATAATAAAAGTGAAGCAAAGCAGCAAAGATTACATTAAGTACAATCTAGCGCCTGTAAGTAATCTCTCTCTGTAGGCAAACATGCAAATACCTCAGAGACTATGGACATTATTACTTGACTTTATTATATATTGTATATATTAGCCCATCCGTGCCTTCTAATAATGCAATATACATAAATCTATAATTTACCTTAAGTCACCTTTTGTAACAACTATGGTGTTGTTTAATTTGTAATATTATTTGCAGCTTCATAGATCTAAATCATTATTTTCTGTTCTATCATTTTTAGGTTGCCAAAGAAGAAAGTAGTTTAATAACGTAATATTTTTGTAAAATTCTTATCTTGTTTGTATATAATAACAAACAAGATAAGTATTTTATATAAATACTACGTTATTAAACTACTTTCTTTTTCTAACAAAAATTTAAATTTATTTATTTTCCTACTCCATCCATCCATCCATTACATTCTTAAAGTTTATTGCTGTACCTAGGTCTCTTCTATAGATTGCCTCATAGTGGATTTTGCCACAGCTACCACGTTTGGCAGGCGGTTTAGCATCCGCAGATATTTATTATTTTGTGTCTACTTCACTTGGTCTTTCTTGATTTTGTTGCCAAAATCCAGAAATCACCCATGATAAGCCGGGGTGGATATAAAATAAAAAATATTTCACGGCAAATAATTTATTTGATATGATAATTTGTAACCACAAGTGCATCGTAAAGTATAATAATATTCAAATCACAGCTATTCTAAAGTAGTTTTTACTTCAAAAGATATTAGCTTAACCAGCTACATGAAACTGGTGCACAAGCCAGAATAGTAGAAAAGAATGGTGGGGGTGCTACTAGCTCAAAAAGAGAACTCCATCCTGTTTAACCATCCTGGCTT